AGTAGTGGGAGTGGTCCCTACTCGCAAATCAGTAGTCAATTGTAACAAAAACTAATCCATTCAAAAGTATGTATTCTGACAAGGATTACAAACTCAAATAGAGATTACAATCTCAAACTCCAAAAATGGAGAACAGCATTCAGTATTAAGAACTCTTGTATTTTTAATAGCTGGATACAAGAAAATTATAGTAGGTGCAGTTTATCATGCAGGGGCAAGAATTGGCTAAACCCTAAGAGGAAAAGTTACACCATTTGTGGCTTTTTAGTTGAGAAAGGTGCATAAAGGAGGTGTCTAAGATTATGTGTGGTGTGGAGAAAGTTGATTAAAAGCAGTTGACAGAAAGACAGTTTCCCTCCCATTCTCATCTTACTGAAATGCTTGCAAGAGGAAGGTCTTAGCCATATAAATTTATTAAACAGATAACAGTACAGAAATATTTTGGGCACATGAGTTTTGATGACATGAAGTAACCATAGATGTTCAGTAAATTTAAGAAATATCCAATACCAAGGCAAGGAAAAACTTTTGTATATCTAGAAAACAAAAATATTTTCAGTGATCAGACAGGAAGTGAGTGGTCTTAGCAGAAGTTAATTTGACACATCAGGATATGGAGAAGTTAGCTCAGTTTATGGCCATCTGCAGAACTGGGGAGCACAGGCTAAGGTGAGATCATGAGGGAATTTTTACATGACATCATAGATGATGCTTCGAGGCTGGACCTAAGTCAGTTTTGAATGAAAAGTATGTCTGAAACACAGCAAGGTGTCTTTTCTTCAGAATGAGAAGTCCCACCTCCAGATGTGTCAAAATCCTTCTTCTATATTTGCAAGAATTTAATCTCTGGCTGTATGAGAAGAGTGTTTGTCAGTATTCCTAGCTAAATAATAAGTATAAGTCTACATTTGTCTGTCTGCTTGTTAGCTTTGTATCAACTCTGGCTCCATTTGATGTGTCTATTGATCTTTCTACCTACAGGTTTGGGGAGCTGCTGGTTGCTTCTGAGCTATAGCCCTTTTTGCAGCTCTTGAATAATCAATCATTTTAGTCCTTAACACTAGACATAGCTGTTTTCTGATACAGGATACTTGCCTGCTTGGTATGTATCCAATACATCACCCCCCACCTATGATGACATTTCCCTAGGTGAGGGACAGACAACTTGTGCATTCTTGGGATGCAGCTCTGTTCTCCAGACAGTGTCCTGGGGCTGAGAGTGCTCAGTTCCATCATATATTTGGCACCCATCAAGCTGTAGCTTGGGGCAATGTTCAGCTATGTAGCATTGGCACAGAAGACCAAACTAGATGTGACGTTAACTGTGTGAATGCAATTTACAAAGCATAAATAGCAGCTACAGGAGATCCCAAGCGACAATGGAACTCAACGGGTTGGGGAAGGAATTTTACCCCTGTTCTCCTGCCTATGTTCTACTCAAAAATCATGTCCCTTCTTCCCAAGTGCCAATTAATGCTGCTATTTCTATTAAGAGGGAATCCTCTATTGATGCCAGTGGAGGCTCCTCTCCCCAATGTAGACTACAGATTAAATGGCGCAATTTTCATTGGCAGGGACAAGTTGCTTCTTTTTTTTGCTGATTAATTTTTATTGCTTTTCAATTTTTTAAAACAGATGAACAGCAAATTAATGCAAATTTAATGCAAATTTAAAAGTTGACTTCCCGTCCCTCTGCCTTGATGTTTCACTTCCCGCTCTCAGTTGCTGCTCAGTATCATACATTTCCAAATTACATTTCAAGAAAATTAACCTATTTTAGCATTTTATCCCTTTTTTCTATTGTCCACTTATTCATTTCCCATCAGCTGCTCTTTTTCAATTCCTTCTTGACTTTTACTTAGCTATTCCCAAATATCAAGAAGAAGAGTGACTCTTCACTTTGTCAGCCCACATAAATCCTTAGTTATAAATCAATAATCCATACATATAACCCATCTCTCCCACTATTTTTCCATCCATAAACATCTGACTGGTTCTAATAAGCACAAACCCCTCTGCATTCCCAGCATTCCATTCTTACTCACAGCACACAGATATCCCCCAAGGTCTCTCATTTCTCATTGTTATGCAACTCAGTAATATCAAATTCCCAGGCTTCAAAATAATCTCTGGACCATCCATTTTAACTCCGTCCCTGGCAGGGACAAGTGATTTGCCAACTCAAAATAATGCATTTGGTTCTCATTTACATATGGTTGACTAAAGCAGGGCTGACCGTCCTGTGATCTTCCAGATGTCGTTGGGCTCCAACTCCCATCATCCCTGACCATTAGTCATGCTGGGGGGGGGGGGAGAGATGGGAGTTGGAGTCTAGCAGGTTCAACCCTTGACATGGGTGAATCTGTTAATTTTCGCCAGACAAATTCAGTTTCCCCCCTTTCTACATCAGCTTGTCATTTTTATATTTAAAAAATAGTCCTCCTGAAAATTCATCAACATTTTGGTGTGAATTTCTCCCAATATACACATTCTGGAAAAGCGTGTTCTCCCTCATGGAGAGCACGTGTTGTGGTGGGGTCTGCCGAGTCACCCCTCTGTTGCCAGGGAGGGTTTCTAAAGAGGGCCTAGGGCAACGATTGGATGGCTGGGTTGCTGGGGTAAATGTTATGTTGCAATTTGGGTGGGAGGGGTCAAATGTTTTAAATACTCTGCACGCAGCCTGGAGCTTTCTCTTTGCTGTGTGCAACGGATCACCCGCCCACCCACCCTAAATTAAAGGTTTTTTTTGTGTTGACCTTGCTATGCTTGTCATGGGGTCATCTGCCGTTGGGGCAGGGGCCTGGTAGGAATTTTGTCCATCTGGCTGATTGGCTGGGCCATTTGGTTTTTGCCTAGCAAATCGTCACAACTTGTAAGGTTGCGGTTAGGCATTGGTTATAAATTGGTTGGAGGAGGGGTTAGAATAGGCTGGGCCTGCCCCTCCATGGTTGCTGCGGAAAGGGAATTCCATTAAAGGAATCCAAGGGCTTGCCATCTTTTCGTCTGAATCCCTGGAATGGGGCTAGGGCCGGCAAGTCTCGGGGAGCATGAGGGGAGAGGGCCTGTGACTCAGCTCCATTTTCTCCCCAATATTGTTTTCCCTTACTGGCTTTTGGTGGTGCCCGGAAGTCAGTTCTGTCCCCAGGCGGGGGGACAGATACTTTACCAATGCCTAAACAACCACTTACGTTTATGTATTTCAATAAAGTTGTGGCCAAAATTATGCCAAAAACCTTAAACAAAAATTATGTGTGTGTTGTGAGTTATTTGGGGGGTGGCTTGGGGACCTCGACACGCAACCATATTTTGCATAGTATAGCCCATTTTATGTTATGTTCATTAATATTTGTTTCAGCTATTTGTATACTGGTTATTGAAGTTTCTAAGTTTCTAGTATATATATATGAACAAATTACCGGTACTTGGCTGAAGAATTGCCTTGGAATTTTGGAAACCTGTGAATTTTGAAGGATGGCTGTGCTTCAGTTTGTGCATTGTTTTGTAAAATGCAAATAAGGAAATAATGATAGGTTTGTTTTCAAATGAAAATGGAATTGAATTTCTCCCTCATCCCTAGCCAACTCTAGATTTTTATTTTGGGGGAAAAAGAATACTTGAATGAGTTTCTTTAAACTACTAAGTGCATTTTTTTCATTAGCAAACTGAGAGAGGGAAAAGGGTTTAGAAGCAAGAGCAGTCTCTATAAATAAAAGCAATACACTGAGGTGCTAATGAAGAAATCGGTATTGGGCCTAATTGCTTGAAGCTGCGATCAAATTAGTAAATTATTATCAAATTAGTACAGATTATTGACAAAACGGTGCTAGGGCTCTGTTGAGTAAAGTTCCAGCTTAAATGTTTTTATTCAAATATTTGAGAGCCATCATACTATACTAACACGCAAATAAACGTGCTAGTATAGTATATATAAAACACGAGAATGAAAAGGCGATTGAGATTAATTTAACAAATGCTTAATCTGTTGGATATTAGATCAGTATAAGACCTGATTTTAGATTTATGGTTAATTGAGTGTTTTTTCCTTCTTTAAAATCCTTCACATGCTACTTGTGAAGTGCTGTTAAGAATTGCCACAGGAAGTGAAGTATGTATGCTGAATCTGTCAATTTCAGTTTCTATCCTTTTTCTCCCTCTTCCAGTTTTAAGTTCCTTTCTCCCAGTTTCCATATCAGTTTTCTTTTCTTTTCTTTTCTTGCATCATGGTAACCACTGTCCTTTATTTTCAAGTGTATGCAGAAATGTAAAAATCATGGACAAAATAAGCAATTTCTTTCTTTCTTAAAGAAATCCTCATGAAAATTCGTCAGCATTGTAGAGCAAATTTCTCCTACTATGACACAATTTGACATGCCATTTCTGCCTAATTTTTCCAGCAATTGTGCACTTGTGTATGTTATTTTCACTAATATATGCACTGATATGTATCATCTGGAGCATCACATGTTCCTCATCCCTACCATACCTCGAAGGAAAAACAGCCATGTGAGATGGCAGGTTATGGATGCACAGCATCTCAGCAGACCCCTTCTGGATTCCCTTGAAATGTCTCAAATGTTTTATGCAAGGGGTAGGGAAGCTCAGCTCCAGGGATTAACTATGGTCCTCCAGACTTCTCTATCAAGCTCTCAGAACTCTTCCGAGGCCATACTTCCTCTCCAGGGGGCCACATCCTTCATCGGTACTGCTCTTTGGCCTCCAAGAGTGCTTCCTTAGTACAGTTTCCTTAATACAGTGACAATGCCTCATGCTTGTCTAAAAGGAGGGATGGTAGAGAGATGTGTGCACCTCTGTATTTTACATGTCCCGGTTTCCGAAGATAAGAGTAACATTTGCCTCTCTTCACACCCACTTTTACTTCTGGCCGTAGCCACAACTGGCAAGCAGCCCCCATAATGTTGTCCACAAGTGAATCATAGAATTGTGGAGTTGGTAGGACCATCTAGTCCAATCCCTTGCAATGCAGGAATCCTGCCCACAGCTGTCCCTGGGTGGGCTCAAACCAGCAACCTTCTGGTTAACAGCCAGATGCACTAACCCACTGTACCACTGGGGAAGAATGTGACCCTTGGACTAAAAAAGGTTCTCCACCTCCGTTTTATACATATGAGGATCCACAAGTTACCTTTGAAACACTGTTTTAAGTTACCTTTGAAACACTGTTTTTCTTTTCTTTCTTTTTTGGTTGGGGTAGCACCAGCTTTTCCAGGAAGCTCCCTTCTACAAGGCCAGATTATTTGTCCATGTAGCTCAGTAATGTCTGTTCTGCCTCATGGCCGCTCTCCAGGGTCTCAGACAGAGAAGCACCTTACCCATCACTTGTTACCCAGACCTTTAAACTGGGGACACCAAGGATTGAACAAGTGGTAGCTGGTGCCCATTTTGAGTGGTAGGGTGGAAGGTAAGGAGGTCAACTGTGGGTGGAGCCAGACCCATCCTCCTCCCTGTTGAATCCTACAAGGGCAGCACTGCGACTGAGGAGGAGAAAGTTGTAGGTTCATCCTTCTAGGTTGGTTCTAAGTAAGAAGGCAAGCAGTTGGGGGTTTCCTGAGGGCAGAGTGAGTCTGGTGGGGCAATGCACTATATCTACTACTGAGCTGCAGTCCTTCCTCAGAACAGATGTGTGGTTGTCACTCAGAATAATCACTCATAACTGTTACCAACTTAGCACTTGACATGCACCCAGTGGATCATTCCATATATATGACCTGTTTTCTATTGTATTTTTCTAAAAATAATAATATTTAAAGATGTATTTTTACTCTAATCAACTTTTTTTAACTGTCTTAGATCTGTCCCCCCCACCTGCTGATACTATTTTTAGCTGCTTCTGCCATTATATTTGTTGATGAGTTGTGTTTAGAATTATGATTTTATTATTTTAGAGACAAAATCTTGTGTTTTAATGTGTTGTGAGCTACTTGGGAAGGGTAGCCTATAAATGAATGAATGAATGAATGAATGAATGAATGCCAGGTTCCTGCCTGGTACCTATGCCCTCTTAATAACACAACAATAATGCCATCCTATCTAAATGTCAGCAGTAAACACATGAAGTGCTCCATCTTCCTGAAATACCAGTGATGATTTCTCAGAAGGTTAGAGTTTCTTTGTCAATAACTTCCAACTGGTAACACATTTTTGCTTGCAGACACCACACTGGCTACATCTACACACTGGCCTCATTGCTCATGAAGTAACAATCCCAGACAATTACTCTGAAGCCCAAGGGAGCCCCCTGCAGGCTTGACAACTGCCTTGCAATGTGGGGGAAGCTCTTCTGTTTGCATTTCTTGCAGAGTGATGGAAGCCTTTGTCTTTCTAAGCGCTGCCAGAAGCCCTATTCACTTGCCATTTGTCATTTCAATGTGCAGTTCCCTGTGGCAGAATTATATATATATATTTAAAAAAAAACCCACTGCTTGATCTCAGAACAAATCCTCCTAAACATCTGCCCTGTTTTAAGTTCAAATGATAGGCAGCATGCCTTCTTAGCAGGAGCATAGATTACAGTACTTCAAACTCTCAATCGCTTTTCTACAATACAAAACAACTGAGGTCTGCTTTACACATTACAGGAGACTAAGGACCAGACTATCCTCAAAACCAGCAGTTCTCAAAGTCACCCCCCACACACAAACACACCTCATGGGCTACTTGGAAGCTGTTATGGATCTTAGCATCCTTTAATAAAAACTTCTGTTGTTGTTGTACTAATCAAAGCAAATGCCTAACTCACATTTCACAAGTACTAAATGCTTCAAGCGCTAAAATCCTGAAACTAATCTGGTCAAGCCCCAAATGTATTTTATGGAATTATTCGATATGTCTTTTGTTAACCTAGGCAACAAATAAATGTAAATAATAAGCAAACAAACAAACGAAAGGCCATAAGAACATCACAGGGCAAAAGCACATAAGCTGAGATAAGAGCAAAGCTGTAAATCATCAGCATCAATTTAAAAAGATATAAAAATAGATTAATTCGTGTCAAAACAATATTCAAAAACCCAGTAGAATAAAAATATCTTCACCAGGTGTTGGAAAGACATGTATGCACTCTTTCTATACATACATATAATCAGAATGTTTAAAATATCTTTCAAAACACTCCATATACATTCAGTTATCTCTACAACCTTGTATAGAAGGGCAGTGGTTCCCCCCTCTTTCAAAATCACATTACAGATGTGAAGCTGTGACTGGGAGAACAATGGGCTTGGCTAAGGCTGAGGAAGGTGTAGATAGTTAGCTCACTTTGTCTTTTAGTGTGTGCCTGCCTGCCTAATTCACACCTGCATGCCAAGGCCCCCATGACCCACAGTTCCCTAATGCACAATAAACACACAGACACAAGTATTTTGGTTTATGGCTTCAAATAGGCCATAACTTTATTGGTTACAGATGTGAGCGGTTTGGCTTCGGCATTTGGGTGAAGCCATGCTATATCTTGACTCCCACCCATCTTCAAGGAGTCCAAGTAAGAGTAAACCACCAATAGGGGGAGCCCTGTGGCTAAATAGGCCCCCCAAGGGGTCCCTATAGGGGTTGTGATATGGCCCTAGCCCAAGTCCGGGCATCAGACAGAATCCACACCCCTGGATCCCTTTAACAGGATACCTTACTGAGGAGGGGCAGGCGAAGGCTACAACCTACCCTTCATCCAAACAAAGGCTTACCCAATGCCTAACCACCACTTGAGTGAGAGATAGGGTCCTGGCTGGTTGTGTCACGCTAAAGTCCCCCATGGCCACGCCCCCTCCCAGCACTGATTGGTCAGCGTGGCCACAGTGGGCGTGGCCCTCCCCAGGGCCGGTGATGCAGCCAGGACAATGCAGAAAAAGGGTGTTAACACTCTGACCCTCCACCCCTGGCCGGATTACTGTTGGGTGCTGGCTGCCTAGCCGCAACACCACCCACTGGGAAAGGTGAGCCGACCTCTTGAAACATATATGTTCTTGGAAAGTCACCCCTCTCTGAATTTTGCAATGCAGTTTTTGTAAACAGAGAAGAAATAAAATGCATATTTTAATGAAAATAGCACCCCAAACTCCTCACAATGTGTTATACTGGGGGAAATTGCATGCGAAACTGTATTTATTAGGCAAAATTGCATATGAAACCATGTATATTAGGGGGAAAGCCATACTAAAATGCTAAAGGAGTTTTGTGGGGACTTTAAAAAGAAACCCACAAAAGGATATGCAAATATCACAACTGAAGATTGGAAAAATGAGAAACTGAAGCTGACAGATTTCCCCTGTCTACAGCATCCTTGTGAGTTTTGCAGCTGAGGCGAGAATACCATGGAGGGAATTGGTTTACACTTTTATCCACTATTTGCAGCCAAGTCTCAGGGTTCATACCAGCTCCAATTTTTGAAATATGTAAACACTAAAGTTGCAAGATGAGGGGCAGTTCTGAAGAACCATATACAAAGGTAATCTATCTTTCTATGACAGAAAAGTGGGTCCCTAGCAGCTCAGTTATTTTACAACTGCATAATCACATGGATAAAGTTATCAGCCTGAAATCACTGCAACTTTCCCCTATTTCTCCCCAAAAGAAGCTTTATAGAAGGCATCTCAGTGCTGTATGTAAGCTTATTTCCACCACACATCCCATTAGATTTAGTCTGGGGTCTCTTTATTTTACAGTTTTCTTCAAATTGCCAAGATGAGTTTACAATATACAGAAACACAGGGGGTTGCTGTCTGAAGGTAAAGGAAAAGATGGCGCCTTCTGCAATTCTCTGCATAGAAGCCAATGGGACAGTTGGATCTCACTGACTCCATCCACTGCAGCGGGGGCAACAGATTAGCTGAGAGGGCACAGGGCTGACTGTGTGGCACACATAAGTCTGTCTGTGCCACCACATCCATTACTGAGGTCGCTGCGTTATTCTGCCTAATGGTAGGACCAGCGCTATAAACATGTGTCCGTGCCAAACAATGGCATGGGGAGTAGCGGCAGGGTTGGTCTTTCCATGCATCAGGTTGAAGCCACCTGCTTTGAGTGGCACCGTGAATGGGTAGTGCTGAAAGCAGAAACTGATGTCTGAATGCTATAGCAAAACTGAGTTTTGATTCAGTAAGATGGGGGAGTGTTTGCCACTCATCTGAAGCAGCTAAATGTCTTGGGGCATCATGATAGGGAGGCAAAGGAAGAAGTCACAATGGAAGAAGTCAGGAGGAGAAATTCAGTTTGGTTTTGCCTTCTGCAAAACAGGATGGGAATCAAAATAAGGAATTGAAATATACTCGGAGTCGAGAGTGGATTTCATGCTCTTTATTCAGCTCATAGTGGTGAGGAGGGAATGAAAGACCCCTCAAAGTATCTGCTTTATAAACATTATTTACACAATGGGCTGCACGTGATTGGCTAATTCCAGAATTCTCCTGTAGGCCAATCAGGTTGTGGATTCACTTCTATCTGGAGCTGGATTGGGTGGCTCCTGCCGACCAATCATACTGCTGCATTGTTCTAGGACCAATCAGACTGCTGCATTCTGAATCCTATTGTTCTAGGACCAATCAGACTGCTGCAGTTTGGATCCTATTCAACTCAGTACATAACAGGAATCCTTCAAATTCCAAACTTTTTCAGATTTTGCAGTTCAGTTCTCTAGCCGAAAAATGTGTACCCCACAACATATAAGGGAAAGTACATAAAAAGGCATATATTATGTTAGGGGGAAATTGCGTTCAAAAATGCAAATACTAGGGGAAATGGGCACTCAAAAAAACAGATGCAGAAATGTGGAAAACTGACACTCTCTCTCTCTCTCTCTCTCTCTTGAAGAAGCAGAAGCAAGCGGGCAGAGGCGTATGCAGACAGAGAGGCTGGACGAGAGAGAGAAACCCTGCGCACTGGCTCCCTGAGAGCAAGGGTTGGTTGGGTCCAGAGAGAGAAAGAGAGAAAGAGATGGTGCTGGAGATTCCAGGATCCAGCCCTCAAGGAGAGGACTGCCTTGCCCTGCTGTAAACCTACGAGCTCTCTCACTGAGTGCGGTGAGGCTTACTCCCGAGTAAACATGTGCAAGGGAGTGGGGGACCC